TTGCCTAATTCACCATCCTTTGTGTGTGTAGCTCACAGGGATGCATGGGAAGCTGGTACGAAAGCTGAAGGCTCAACAGCTTGTTCCCTACAGTCACACAAGGCTGCCATACTAACGAGTTTCTGAGCAGAGGATGTGGGTAACTCTTCTCTATTAGTTCTCCATAGCAAAACAACTAACGTGGCATCCAGGAGGATCTTTCTCCTGCCCTTCTCTCCTTCTACAATTGTCTTTAATCTTCTTTCTGTGGGGCCAAAGGATTAATCATCCCAAGGAACTATGAATGGAAATGAATTTTAGGGAATGAAAAGAATAAAAGATTATGGCCAACAGATCCTGTCTACCTACCTGAGTACCTGATCTCTCCCTTACACACATAGATGCACACTTTCATTACAGCTCATGATTTGTTTTAAATTTTCTGGGCTGGGGATTTAGCTCAACGGCTCAAGTACTTGCCTGGTAAACACAAGGTTGTGAGTTCAATTCCTGGCACACACACACTAAATTCTTAGCTAGATGTAGTAACATCTGGGAGGCTGAGGCATGAAATCATAAGTTCAAGCCAAGCCTAGGCAACTTAGAAAGACCCTGTCTCAAAAATCAAAAACAAAAACGGGGTGGGGATGTAGCACCAAGGCCCTGGATTCAAGTCTCAGTACCATGACAAAGCGAAATGCAAAACAAAACAAAAAAATAAAACCTAACAGATAAGCAAGCCACATCCTGGGAAGAACAGTATAATAGCTCCCTTTTTCTCCTGTGCTACCTTTTCTGTCCCTGGGTACTAGAACTGCTAAGCAGGGGAGGTCAGGTATGAGGGAGGCATGGGAATGTGAGACACAGAGGGGGCTCAGAGTCTCTGTACCTGAGAGGCACCTTGGACATGTCCAAGTGGAATTCTCTTTTTGGATCAAAGACTATCCTGTTGCACACATTTCCCATCCCTGCAAGTGATAGAAGCTTTTTTTTTTCTTTTAATTTGAGACAGTCTCGCTATACAGTTCAGACTGGTCTCTAACTCACTTTGTAGCCCAGGCTGGTCTCGAACTTGCAACAATCCTCCTGCCTTAGCCTCCTGAATGCCGGGACAACAGGAGTGTACCACCACGCCTGGCTTGGAAGCTTTTAAAGAAACCAATGTGATAATGTTTGCAGAAAACTATGATTCCCAGGAAATATACTGACAGGTATCTGATCTGAAGATTTGTTACCCCCGTTCCCCTGTAAAGTTTCTCTCTCGTATGGTGGACATGAACCCACTGTTCACCTTCCTCTTCAGTGAGGCCTTGACAACATTCCACAGGTGCGTAGTGATGCTGGTGGCTGAAAATGGCATAAGATCTCCTTGATGTCCAAGGCCATTATCTCATCCCTGATGCTCAGAGGATGCCCGAGTTATCAGAGAAATGTTCTGCAATAATCATACCCGCTGCAAGGAAACAAGTGAGGATGCACCATGACTCAGGCTTTCAGCTCCTGATTTGACTGGCAAGGCTGACACAGGCATCACAAAGGAGCACGAGAACCTGAGGAACAGTAGAACTGGACTGAGGAAAGCAGGAGTTCTTTAGTGAGGAACTGGTTCCCAAGTCAGCAGTCTGCCTTTAGGTAAGTGAGGTTGCCATGGCAACAAAGCCCTCCCATAATGTCTTAAGAGCTTTGCTGAGACCAGGGCCCTCTCTGAGGGTGCAGCTGGCTGAAGGGACATAAACAGGCCTTCTAAAGTCCTTGCAAATCCAGGAGGGCCTGGATCCTCAGGCTCTGAGTGTGTCCCAACACTGCCTAGGATTAGCCTTGGCTGATGTTGGAATCACCATCCTGCAGCCCTCAAGTCTACCTTGCTGAGGGTTCCGGGCAGCCTTGAAGGAGCCAATGCCAGGTACAGATGAGCTTTCTAAGTCCAGGGGTCACAGTAAGAAACACAGGGAATTGGAATCTCATGGGAATCACCAAGGCTTTCTCCTTTGCTTTCTAGGGAAGCAATGCTGAAAGCTCCTTTTTTTTTAGGTTGTCAAGGACAGTTCTGGAACCTCCTATAGTCATTCATCCTAAGAATTTACTAACAGCACCATAACAAAACAAAACAAAACAATTCTTTGCAGTACCAGGGAACTGAACCCAGGCAGGTCTTTGCAATGAGCCAACTCTTTATATTTTGAGACAAGGTCTTGCTCGGTTGCCCAGGGAGGGCTCAATCTTATGATCTTCTTGCCTCAGCCTTCCAGAGTACAGGGATTATAGACAAGAGCCAGCATGCCTGGCACTAATTCTACTTTTTGGAATCTAAATTTCATACCTGTAAACATAGTTACTTTAAGAAATTCTCTTAAAAAGATAACTGATAAGAGCTGGGGATTTAGCTCAGTGGCTTAAGTGTCTCCCTGGCAGGTGTGATGTGAGTTCAATCCCTGGTACCAACACCAAAAAAACAAAAACAAACTGATAAAGAAATTTTTAACAAGAAAAACTACCACTCTTAATCTTGCTACCACAGTATTCTTCCACTATTACAAGTACCTTCTAGTCTTCCTAGTCTAGAGGCATATTTCTGCTTAGCTACCATCATATCATATATACCTACACACACACACACACACACACACACACACACACACACACACACACACACACCTTATCTTCCTGCAATATAAGAAATATTTCCCTCTAGCTGCCATAACTCCTGCTCTGCCAGGGTCTCCCTACTACAGATAGGCAGTGGAATGTTGGAACTTCCAGTTGGGCTTTCTGCTTGGGGTGACACAGGGTGGGTCCCACATGCTTGCTTCTTCACGGAACCTAGGGGCTGTTTTCTGCCAAGGTTTTCTGTCTCCTTCTCTCCAATCTGCAGGTGCCTCCAGAGTTTTAAATGACTTTGTTCTATAAAGTAATACAGTATTTTACAAATACCATTTGTGAAGCACATGCTACAGCCCCTGCCATTTAAGTATCAATTGCATTCGTTTTCCCCAGGTGAGAAATATAATTCTCATATGAACAGTCTAACATAGTGGTGGGGATCTACTGTGATAAAACAAAGCCATTCTTTGAGGCTGTGTTAGACTGTGGAGAGGGATTTGACATGGATTGAAAGAAACCTGGAACTGAAGGAGACTGTATTTTACCCTTGGGACCAGGAGGTTTTGATGTAGAAAGTGTCTGGTCTGTTTTGCCAAACTTGGTCCTGCCTCTGACAGGGCAGTAAATACTCTCAGGAATGTGAAAGGGCCCAATTTCTCATGAGAGGGGGAGGAAAGGCTATTTTTTCACAAAAATATACACAAAATAGCACAATCAACCAAGTTGGTTATTTCCCTTCCTGGATCTGGAGGGTGAACATGTGCTGCAGAGGTCTCTGAACTCGATGGTTAAACTGGCTGATCCGGACTGGGATTTAGCTTATCGGCGTAAGTGCCTGCCTTGCAAGCACACAGTTGTGAGTTCAATCCCCAGTACCAAAAAAAAAAAAAAAAACCACACAAAAACAAAACAAACAAACAAACAACAAAAAACTGGCTGACCCAGAGATGAAGTAGGCAGATATTACACTGACCCTGTAGGTAGCTGGCCACTGCACTTGGCTGCCTAGATCCAGGCAGGTATGGTCTTCTGTCCCATTCTAGACAAAACCAAATAGGAACATCCAAAACCCACAAAAACCTCATTTGGATGCTGTGATGCCACCACCATGTTCTGGCTGCATCTGTGTGTGTTTAGGATTTTGGAACGGCAGCAGCCGCTGCCACTGCCACAGCCGACCAGCTGTTCCCCTAAGCACGTGTGTCCCCTTGTAAACCTTCTAGCAAGCTGGCAGGCTTTGCGCTCCTCACTTAGCTTTGTTTGTGTTTTCAATGAATCAATGGGATGTGGAGACTAATCAACATGTTTAGAAAAATAAAGAAAGGAAAAAAGAAGAAGGCTCATGATGCTGGCTGTTCCAGAAAAGCTCTATTACAACTGTGGGCTGAGAGCAGTGGGAGCAGGCAGAGAGATGTGAGGCATACGGTGGGGGGAACTCCAGGAGCAGTGGCCATAACCAGTGTGGCCAGGAGTCTTGGGCAGACATAACAGGCCAGATGGGAGATCTCTGAAGCCGTGGGTTCTCTGGAACTAACAGGCAATGGCCAAGCTTTTCAGCCTCATCACAGCTGGCCTCTCCTACCTGTACCCAGGTTCCATCTCAACCTTGGCCCCTCTCCTCCAATGACTGGGTCTCCATAAAATACACTGGCAGTATTCCTAGGGTTTTTTCCTCCACTTCTCATTCTCCTGCCTCTCTCATCTTCTTGCCTCTTCCATCCTCTCGCTCAAAACAGGACTTCCAGATGGATGACACACCTCCCACCACAATCCGACTAGGCCTCGTCCCTGCCCTATGAGAACAGACGCCCTTGTGCATGAAGTCCAACCTTAATTCAATTCCTAGCCCCAAACTCAGGATTCTGCACCTAGAAGCCAACTGATCAATAATGGGAGCCAATGATCACATGAATGACAGACATAGCAAACTCCCCACTCAGCTATGGATTCTCTTGATCACCATTAAAAGGGAAGTCCATGAAGGATCCAGTTTGCCATCAGCATACCTTCTTTCTTTTTACTGTTTATAGAAATTTTGTTTGTAATAACCAAGATTGAGAAATAGCCGCAATGCCTATCAGTAAGTGAAAAGCAGTATGAACAGTGGTACCTCTCTACCATGCGATGCTCTGCAGTCATGCAAAGGAGCAAACTTGCTACATGCAATAATTTGAATGGACCTCAATGACATTATCCCACAAGGAAAAAGCCAATCTCGGAAGGTTATTTTTATATGATTCCATTTATACGACACTCTCAAAATAAAGCACAGTAGGGATGGTGGTCAAGGTTAGGACATGTGAGCTTACTTCCAGCTTATCCAGCTCAAAGGATGCCTCAGTCTCCTGGTCTAGACCCGAAGAAGGGAGCCATGAAAAGCAGTGAGATATTTCACACAAGCCAGCAAGTGGGCTACTTACCTGAGCTTACACAGCCCTGCTGTAGGGAGTCCTGCAGCGATGTCACTGAATGGAGGACTAGAGAAGAAAAAGACACAGTTAAATGAAGAAGCAGCCCAGGGCTCAGGTGTTTCTAACTAAATGAGGTACAAAAATGAGGCACAGTGGACAGCCACAAAGGCTGGAGGGAGGTAAGGAAGGAGGAGGCTTCCTGCTGCTCATGGGCAGGCCAGGACCATTATGGGATGAGGTCATCCAGGCCTGGAAGAGGCTGCCCTTAGAGGCCTGGACTGACAGCAGGTAGAAACCACAGCCTGTGACACTTTCATTTCTGTCCTTGCCTGGCTTTCCTTCCTGATTCCTTGATTTAGCTACTTGATTTTTACCTATATTTATGTATAAACAGTATTTTCTTAATTGGTAACTCATTTTCTGCTGCTTATAGAATTAGCTAGGCACAATCTTCTTGATCTTAAAAACTAAAGTCATTCCCATTGTGACAGGTTGTGGAAGGAGGGGGCGGTTCTCAGCTTCCTGGGGTGGCCAGCAGCTAGAGGAGGTTGCCCCTTCCTGACCAGACTCCTCCTCCCTCTCTGAAGCAGCTGGGGGAGGGCAGAGGTGGCCTCACCTGGCCCTTGTGGCTGTCCCTGCACAGGCAGCACTCCCTGGCCCAGCTCGCCGTTTAGCCAAAGCTGCATTCGGATGAAGGGCTCTCGACCTTTCTGGGTTAGCTTGCTCCATGGCTTTGGTCGGGATAGCATGTCACTGACGCTGCCCTGGGACAGGCCCAGCACCTAAAAGTGGTACCCAGAGAAACATAGTCAGCACCCATGTATTAGCATGATGTCACAAGGTACCTTAGTGATGCACAAATGGCTATGTGGGGGTATGGAAGGGATGAGGGGACATAGGGATCCTGGGAAACCACATCTTGGGGGACTGTGAAGTTTAGGCAGGAATAAGCTTTACCAGGTAACTGATGGGGTCTCGGGCAAGTCATTGTTATAGTCTCAATTTCCAGCTCCCAGGGGAGAGGTGGGGTTTGTTCCCAGGATCTGGATCCTGCCATAGCTGTGGAGCTGTCATCCTAACAGCTGAGGAGGAAGCAATAGGAATCGTCTTGCTCTTTCCCTAGGGGTACCAGTAAAGGCTGGGGTGCTGGGCCTAGAATTCCTCAAGACACAAGAGTAGGGGATCTCTGAGGGACATGGGAAGCTGGGTTCTTTGCTGACAAGCCATGTGACTTTAGAAAGGTTTGCTTTCTCTAATCCCATGTAACCCAGAGGTGATCTGGTAGGGACCAGGAGCCAGTCTGGGAGTAATATTCAGCTGGAGATGATCGACAAGTTGCATGCACACCCCCAAGGCTTCTGACGCTCGCATATGGCCATACATATGTATAGGCACACACACCCCACCCAGGACACAGATGCAGCCCAGAGATATTTAGGGGCTGCATCCCATCACTCTTTTGAGACGTTCTCAAGTTCCAGAATAAACTGCACTCATGGGCCAAACAAGTGCAATGTTATTAAGTCTCTGCTAAATTTAAGGCATGAGCACAAATGTCTATTTAAATGTTCTCAAATGATATTTTTACAATGCTGAACTAGAAATCTCAAGGGACTTTAAATTCCCACCCTCGCTTATAGTACCTCTATCACCTTTTGCAAAATAAAGACAGAGGGTTCACAAAAAACCCTAAGGTTGCTGGCTGGGTGCATGGCAAGCACTGAGCTGAAAGCTGGGCAGGGAAGGGGGTTGAAGGTGCCATAAGGGTTTCTGGGGACACTGTGGACCCAACCATATGTCCTCTGGGAAGGTTACCTCCCAGGTACTGGTGCACTTTTCATAATGTTCAGCAATTCATTACCCAATCTAAAAGGATACTAGGGTATTATGTGTTTTTTAGGTTTTACAGGTGTGGCAAATTCCCATTATTCAGAATCTGACATCAAGGAAGTGCCAAGAACAGAAAGGTCTAGAAGCTAATCCAAGAACTATCATACTTTCAAGAGCTGGTGAAAGGATGACATGGAAATGCAGCTCTTACCAGGTGTGTGTGCTGGGCTGTTGCTTTGCCTGGCTGGAAAATATCCAATTGCTTTTTGAGTTTTAGTGGGAAAGAACAGTTAGGTTTGGGGTAGCTTTTCTACCAAGTCCACTTTGGTTCTCTGTAGGCTGGTTCTCTCTTTATATCATCAGATCAGACCTTTTATGGCCAAAATAGCCTTGGGGGGAGGCTCTCAGTTTCACTTGGCAGCAGAGGCTAGAAAGAGTCACCTGCCAGGCTAAGGCAAGCAGTTAACTTCCTTGAGCCTTGGTTCCTTATCTGTCATGTGGTCACTTTATGAAGCATCCCCCAATATAGCTGAGAGATCCAAAGGAGGGCAGAAGGGGGACACCCGTGCCCAGAACCTGCTTGCCAGGTGGCCCAGCAAGTGGGACCAAGAGCTGCTGGCCTTCTATGGAGTTGGGAATCAATGACACATCATGTGTTTGGGTCAATTAAAATGGGTGACGGTCAAGTCTCCTAGGATGGATACTCAGTCCTAAACCATGAAAAGAAATGCTTATGGAAGCCCTGAACCAAAGCCCTTACCTTTTCCCCAAAGATCCTCTGGCAAATGCCGTTCTTGGCCAGCTTCTCTTTAACCTGCCGAGTAAGCTCGATGGTGTCCACATCCTGGTACATGTAGATCTCATACTGTTCGGGGGTCAGTGGAGGGACGGAGGGCTTCGTGGGCTTTGCCATGGGTAAGATTGGGGAGGAAGGTAGAGGGCTGTTCTGGGGTGTCTCACTGCGGCTGGCTCCAGTCAGGCTCAGCTCTGAGCTCTGTGAGTATGGAGACTCAGCATTGGGCCACTCTTTCCAGTACTCTGATGAGGGTCCCTGGAGCTGGCTGCGCTCGGCCCGCGGATGGTTGCTACCACCACCCTTTTCTTTCCCACCTGTGGCTTCTTCACCCTTTGTCTCTTCAGAGGAGGTGGGGTTTCTCCTCTCGGGCTGTGCAGGACTCCACCAGTGGTCCTTCCATCCACCTCCACGGCCCAGCTCGCTCTTCACATGCCTCAAGACTCCTTGTGCAGTGTCCATAGTGCCTTGTGGGTCCAGGGTGGGCATGTCCTGGGCCTCTTTTTTGAGGGCTGGGGTGTTAGGCAGGGCTGAGGCACTCGCCTCGGAGGCTGATGGTGTTTTCTTCAGGGAGATGGCAAGAGGAGAGTAACTAGATACAGTGGGCATAGGCGAGGCAGACAGGAGCTTGGGTGTCAGAAGGGCGAGGTCAGGCTGGGCCAGTGGGGCTGGTTTTAAGGCAGGGTCAAGGGCAGCCTGCTGGGCTTCCATTTCCCGGCGGGCTTGCTGCAGGATGGAGCGGATGGCATCATCGGAGTTCCCACTGCTGGATGCAGAAGATAGCTGTGCCGGCTCTGTTGCATGGAGCAAACATTGGGGGTAGTTGAAGCAGGACTGTACTTTATTCTACTTTGCCCCACCATATAGCATAGGTCATTTAGGAGAATCACTTTGTGCTATTTTCTCAGCCTTTCCCCATCACTGAAACATGTGTGCATCCTGTCTGAGCAGTAAGCACACAGGACTGAGGCTCCTATCTGATGGTCCACTGGGCTATTCCACACCTGCTGGATTTCTTATCATGGAGTATAACCAAGGTGAGAGGCAAGGAAACACTCAGGGATTCTGCCCCCAAGGCTTCCTTTGTGGAGACTGGTAAACTTGACATTAAATCTCCTGTGATATTTCAAACTATTCTTATGGTTCTGTCAAATGCAATAAGAGGTCAGCACCTTCTAGGGATCAGTGGCCATTACTGAGGCACTCAATGTTCTGTGTACACTAGTGGTATAGCCAGCAGGAGTGGGCCTCACTGGCAGGGGCAAAGGGGAATGATAATGTGGTTCAGGAGAAGCTCCTAGCCCAGGAACCTAGGGCTATGTAATTCAAGAAAGTCATAGATACTGCTGGGCCTCAGTTTTCTACCTACAAAAGGGAGATGGATGATGGACCAGATCAAAGATTAACCAGGCCGTGGTCTGCATGTCTGCTTGAGAAGGAGATGTGGAGCTGGCTGGCTCCTGCATTTTCTACTAGTTCCTGGTGACCATGGAGTGTGTCTGTAACTGAGAGACCCACTCTGTGGAGTGTCCTGGATCTGACATTTGGGAAGTCTATAGGTTCTCTGGTTCTGCACCTTGTTCCCCAAATCATATACTTTCATGTCTGGGAAGGGAAGTCCTACCCAAATTGGCTTGTTAATCTGCTTTAAAGGATGCCTAAACATACTGCAAACAACAGAAACGTGTACATTGCTTAAGTAGCTTTCTATGTATGACAGAGCCCATCCTATAGCTCAACAGCCCTCACAGTTTGTTAGACAAAGGAACCAGAGTTCAGCTAGGAAGTGGCCCATGAAGAGTGTCTTACCTCTGTGGGCTTTTCCTCTCAGTTCCTGCCAGGGGTTCCTTGCTAACTAAGAGTTCTGGATGTTTTGACACACAGGACAAGTGGATTCAATTTTAACTGGTCAAGGAGAACAAGAACTCTTAACACTGAGTCTTGCCTCACACCATCAAGATGATGTCCTACCACCCTGGAACCTTTAAAACAAAGCAGATTGCATCACACAGGAGGAAGTGCTGGCACTGGAGATAGGAGGCCATCTAATGGGTCTGGGAAAAATATTTTAAAATTGAGGCTGAGTTGGATAGTCAGAAATAACAGGTGACCAAACCTATCTTCTGGGATATGAGGACGCAGTTTGAGCTCAGGCCTGGTCCCCTAAAAGAAGTATGAACTCACCTACTGGATGTGTGCTGTGCTAGAAGGAGATCGAGCAACCAAGTGAGTAGCTGGCTGGTGGCCCGTGCTTAGCTGTCACAGCTGCTGGCTGTAGGCCTAGCAGCTCCTTGTGACTAGATCTGTTGGGGAAGTCTCTGCAGAGCAGTGCTTCATGGGCATGGGGCAGGCTAAATACCCAGGAGGAGTTATCCTTAGACTCCTCTCTTGCAGAAGGGTCAGATCTTCCTGGTGTTCTTCCTAAGGCTCAGCCAGAGAAAAGGCGAAGCATAGGCTCTATCCTCTGAAAAATGTGGCTCTCAGGAAGCTCTGGTTCCACAGGCAGGCTGCAGAGGTGGACATCTGTCCACATAGGCTGCCTGCTTCCTAGTTGCATTATATGTTTCCATCATGTACCTGGTAAGGGCTTAGTTTTTGCCCATTCTTTTTTAGCTACATTTAGTCAAGTATGATAATAACTAAAAAACAAAAGCCTGCATTGTATTTTAAAAAGGATATTTGACATATACTACCTGCTAATTTAAGGAGATTCTAAGGCCTGGGTAACATTCTTAAATTGTTGCTGGGGAATGACATTACAAGTTGTAACTAGTAATAGTAAGACAGATTATACAAATGTGCTCTCCTCTGCATGTACCTAAATGCTCACTGCTGTTTAAACTTTAACCACTGTTGACCAGAATGCTCGTGACAATTATTTTAATTAAGCTTGGAAGACAGTGGTTGAAGAAATATAAGTCATACCAGTTTTCTGAACTTGAAGCTCCCTCTTGGCTTGTTCCAGGATGGACTTGATTGCTTCATCAGAACCCGTCTCTGAGGCTCGGATCCGTGTGGTAATGTTACCTGTGGGGAAAAGTCATAGCGATGATCTCAAACCAAACTTTGGCTAACAAAATCAATGTCATACAAAGACATCATTTTGATAAATGGCCCCGAGCTGAGGCTGGTGGTATAAGGAGGTAGGTGTGGCCTCCCATAGGCCAGCACTTTCATAGCAGGTACTTAAAACACCATGCAGGAGGCTTCCTGCTGAACTTGCCTCACAGTCAATGTTACTTGGCCAGCAGGACTGGCTTGCACATTCACCTGAGCCGGCTACTGCTTGTGGGTTAGTACTGAGAGGAAATGAACCATTCAATGCAGTACAGAAAAGGGCAGATTCAAAGGCCATGTTTTTCATGAGTCATTTAGAAGTATCTTCAGCAACTGCTTTGGCTCAGGACTATATTCAGGCTCTGTACATTTATTTTTCCCAATCATAAAAATGGAAGGAAGGCAAAGGGCTGAGGCTGATCCTTGATTAATCATCTGGATATAGCAGGTCACGAGGCATAAGGCTGAACTTAACTTTTTTGGGATCTATGACCATATATTCTGTTTTTGAAATTTATAAACAAGAAGAGAAGCCTGCAGGGATCCCTACAGAACCAGAACCCATTCTTAGGTTCACCTGATGGTGTTCTGCAGAGCAGCCACATGTGCAGACACCCTGAAGCTACAAAGGCTCAGGGGCTGGCCCCAGTTCTTTCTGGAAACTGTCCAGATATTTTAATTTTTCATTACCTTAATAGGAAGTGCCATGTGAAACTGTTTAAATAAGGAAACTACTGAGATGAAGCCCCATTAGAGATGAAACTCCAAGGAGTGTGGTAGGGGCTGGCCTGCTAAGGACAATAAGGGAGCTGACTGAATTTGTAAATCTAGCCACTTGTGGGAATGTTACATATTTTAGAGTTAAAAGTTGGAGGAAGCAGCAGCATCTGGTTTAACTTGACAACTTGATTTTTCTCAGAGCAGTAACAGTCATTCTTTCACCTGCTTCTGAGAAAACAGGGATAGTGTAATTGGAATGGTGTCTGTGCTTAGGGACTAATCTCAGGGACACGTTCTTGTGCATGGTCCACACTCGAGGAGTATAGGCAGCTCAGGGTAGAGGCTGGGCATCCTTGAACCCGTGTTTTGTTTTATACTTACTAGCTCTGTTTTTCCATCAGGTTCCAGGCCAGAATTATACTGCACAGTTTTAACCCAAAAAACACAGCTAATGACATGCTGCTTCCTAGGTTACTGACTGCAAAGAAAAACACCTGCCTGCAACATACCTTCAGACCCATTTCTTCGTTTCGGTACTTCCTGAAATAGTCTGTTCAGGCTCTGGCCTGGATTCTCTGTTGAAAAACAAGTGTGGTAAGAACAAAACAATCAGGGGAATGGTGGCGTCAACGATATGGGCTGGGTGACATGAAATCTGAGCCGCCTGATGCTAAAGAAAGGGCTCAGGGCTTCCTGTGCAACTTGGAGCTCCTAGAAACTTCAGAGAGGCCCTTCCCTGGCTGGCTGGCCTGCAGAGGCCATGGCTCGACTGCAAGAAGAGACTGGACAAACCTAAACAGTGGCCTGCCGCCACTGCTGCCAAGAGGGTCGCAGGGAGGGACAGCTGTCTCAAAGCAAACATCCGCCAGCCCCCAGAACAAAGCTCCCATTAATCATCCAAAGACATTCAATTTCAGTTAACATCACCATAAAACGCTCTGCGTTCTTCTTGGTGCAAATTGATGCCATTTGGAACATTGAAAGTCTCCCTTCTCTGTCTGAGTCAAACTTCAAATGTATGTTTGAAATGTGGCTGACAAAATTTCCTCTCTAAATCACTGCTGATTTAGCATATGGGTCCTCTGTTCCTAAAGAGGGCGGGAATTCTTTATATTGTGGATATGGCTGACTTTTGATCTTTTTATGGAGGGTGGAGTAGGAAGGGTGTTTGAATAGAATTTTCATATATTTTACTGAGTGGCAGGTGTGTTTTGCTCATAGTGCTAAAGAAAAGAAATCACTGATGGAACATAAATGAGTTAAGGTGACCACAAGATATCTCTGAGAGGTCAGAGGAGGAGAAGAGGAAGCTTTAAAAGGCTCACCCTGCAGAGCCAGTGCTATGTGAGGATGGAGCCCAGTCAATGCTATGGGGCTAGATGGCACCTGAGGGCCACTCCCAACATGAGGCCAACACTCAGGCCAGTTGGTATCAAGGATCTTAAACATGCCAGAATGCTGTACCTAAAGCAATTTCTTCTAATTCAACACATAGCAGAGATCTTGAGTTCCCTAAATGCAAGGAACAGAACATGTTCCAAGGCCAGCTCCCCTAAATCTAAAGACTGCAGCTCATGCTGCTTGACCCTTAAGCTCTAGAAATGGTACAACCAAAGAGAATTTTACCTGATATGATGTACAGATGTTTTGTCACACATGTGCTTGAGCACACACACACACACACACACACACACACAGCCTCACGATGCGTTCACACGCTGGCATCAACCTGAGGTGTTTCTTACCTCTCTGTCTGCCTTGGATGCTGCGCAGGGCCAAGATGTTCTGTTCGTCTGACAGGAACTGCTTCATCTTGTGGAATGGCTCTTTACCACGAACGGTCAGTTTATTCCAGGGCTTTGGCCGGGCCAGGATCTCACTCACAGATCCTTGTGACAGTCCCAAGACATAATGTCCGAAAATGCGCTGTCCAATATTGTGCTTGATCAGCTGCTCTTTGACCTGCCGGGCAATTTCTGCAGTGTCTATCTCCTCGCCCTCAGAGATGCTCCCAGCACTTTCAGACTGGCTGGGAGATGGGGCCATGCCATTTACATCTGGGCTTTGTTGTAATGGAGTTGGGGAAGATATGGAATTTGTGCTGTAGGGACCTGTTGAAAAAATCATGCTTGTGCTTCCTGCTTCCTGCATGGCCTTGGAGTAGAAGGAGTGCATTAGCTGTCGCTGGAGGAGAGAGTTTAGTGCAAATTTTCCTGTAGAAGCCAGGGGTAGGCTGGGGCTTGTCAGGGATGAGCTGAAAAAGTCTTGACTTAACCCCGCTGGTGAGAACTGGTGTGTACCATTAGTATTGGAAGCCTGCTCCCCCGTGTTGCGAGGCAACTGAGGAGGAGGAGAGGCCGGCAAGGGTCCAGGGCGCCGACTCTCAGGCTGGTCTTTCCCTTTTCTCCTGGCTGACCCTACAAGGAAGGGCAAACAGAATGCATTATGGGGGATTCCAAAGGGGAAAAAATATCAAGACCAGAATGCAAAGTAAGTTTGCCCCACAAAAGGGAAAAAATAAAAGTGCAGATTTTATAAGGGCCAATGAGGTAGGTTGGTTTGTTTTTCGATTGAATTTGTCAATCAGCCAAACAAGGCCCCCCAAAACAAGCCACATGCATTCGTGTTTGCACCTTTCTTGTATGTTGCAGCCTGGAGAATCCCCTTTGACAAAGGTTCAAACTACTAGTGACAAGGATCTGGTAACACACACAGGGAAGAGTTGACAGGTCGTGGGCTTTGTGTGGGTCCTCTAGCATTTGAGCTATCATCAGAGGGCCCTGCCTGAGGAGCAGCAAACACTGACATTGGGGACCGGTGGGGATGCTCTCCCAACGTGCCCTGAGGCGAAGGTACCGCACGAGTCCACGCGATTGAAGGCGCGCACATTTTAGAAATGCAATTATCATCGGAGCCCACACACGGTTAACGCACTTTATCAGCTGCCAGACCAGAAGCAGTCAGTGATACCACCATTTTGGGATGAGCAAAGAAAGGCTAAGGATGGGGGACACATCCCCAAGGAAAATCTGACAAAGGAAGAAAAGCACCCTGAACCTGGGTTGGCAGGCAACCCCTGTAAGCAGCCCCCAGAGACACTCGCGAGAAGAGCCAGGCTGACTTCTGTCCTTGGCCTGTTCGCAGCACAACTACAAAAAGACCAGAAAGCCAACATCCTCAGGTTTTCCCTCCTAGAACCTCTGCAGACACACTGCAGGGTGCGCGCATCTTGTCACAGGGCGGGTGGGGCAGAACAGTGAGGGGTCACCAAACACTCAAGGTTAGTCACGGTCCTCACCAACCGGCGGTGCTCCCGCCATGCATGAGCCCAAACTCACATGTCACCCTCCTCTTCCTCAACCCTTGGAAGCGAACCAAGCATGGCACATGACACCTGTCCACCTACCGCTCAGGTCGCTGTTGGATATGCGCAGTGCAGCATTCTCAGACTGCAGGGAGCGGTTCTTCTCCAGCAGCAGCACCTCCAGGGGCTTGGCCGCATCCTAGATGGGGTAGAGGGGGACTCACCACAGGCTCATCATGGTGGGGCGGGCCATCACCCGCTCCTGGGGTCCCTTACCTGCCACACCTTCCTGTCTGCCTGCCTTCCTGCCTCACCTTTCAGTCACAAAGAGCACATTTCCCCAAGGATTCCCCCCCCCCACCCCCCGCCACAAGGATTTTTAATGGGCCCTCAGAAAACATTCAAATTTCTTTGAAAAAGAACAGTTGAGATATTTTTTTCCTTGCTCTTAAGACTTGTATGGCTTCTAGACAATTAATTATTATCTATTCTGTCCCCAAATTTCAACAGTCTAAGTTTGGGCCTTATTTGGCAACATGATAGGCTGTCAAGCTACCACCAACCTGTGTCAGAAAATAATTGTAGATCTTCAATTTTTTTTTTTCTCCAGCAAGAAGATGTCAGTTGCTGTTTGGGGGTTGGAAGTGAGTTTCCACCAGTGATGTAAATGTCAATTTAAAAAAAATTTTTTTAAAATAAGAAGTTAAAGGGCTTCCTTTGAACTCTTGGGTTCACATGATTCTCCTGCCTCAGCCTCCCAAGTACCTAGGGCTATAGGTGCATATTTTTATGCCTGGCTTTAGGATATAATCAAACTGGCCATCTATGCTTTTCAACACAGGAGGTGTACAATTAATGTTCCTAAGCCTATCTACTTTTTGATCTTAAAACATAACCTGAATTTTAGTTTTTTGGAGCTGCAGTTGAAGCCAGGGTACACGCTAAGTATGTGCTCTACTGCTGAACTGCACCCCCAACCCCTGAAGTTCTTTATCCATGTTGTAGTGTCTGTCCAAGTGAAATGACAATGTAACTGAGTTAACAGTTTGGAAAACTTTTCCCTTTTTGTCTGTTAATTACAAATTATTTGCTTCTGCTTAGGTAAAATTTGTCACAGAAGACAGACTCAAAAGAGCAAGAGACAGGTCCCATATAAAGATGGAGATAGGAAAGCAGGCCCTGGGGACCAGCACTGCTATTGCCACTGCCCCGAGAACACAGTGCAAGAGTGTACCTGCGTCCCTGTTCCTTCTGATGGTGCAAACTCCATGGACTTCAGGATACTGAAAGAGCAAGACAGAGCAGTGATTTTCTACTTATACCTATGATAGCAGCCATGCTAATACGCATTAATGTTACAATTTCCTGCTCTGCAGGAGCCGAGGAACTGACAACTTTAACAACTTCCCTGGCAGGAGCTTTAATCTGATAATGTCTTTAGAATAACTAGTATTCAACTAGAAGTTGGCTAGCAAAAGATTTTTTTGCCCAGCATGTAAATCATTCCATATGGAATCACACCAGGTCTGTTCAGAGTATAATTTTAAAGTTTAATACAGAAATCACATTGTTGTAAGTGGAATGTATCTGTGAAGCTTAAAGGGAATGAAAAAGTTCTCCCAGGGATGCCAGAGAGAGGGCAATTCTCTACTACAGCTATGTACTGCTCACTCAGTAATCAGCACCCATTCAGGGTCCAGGGGAAAGAGAAAAAAGAGCATGCCACATAGAAATGGCTTGAAGGCCAGGCAGGCAGACTGTGCAGCCCCAGCTCTGGCAAGAAGTTCTAAAGACCGAGGAGAGTTGAACACCTTCCCCCACTGTTTCTGTAAGTGCGGGCATGGGCTACAGCCCAGGCACTCCAGGCTCTGAGAGGTCTGAACAGCCAGTAGTTGGGTGAGGTCAGGCTTCTGGAACTACTGTTTCTCATATTCTTCTTGCTGGCTATGATCCTTTCTGCCAGCACTATAGAGAACAGGGAAAATGAGTCTGTAGGGTCTGAAGGAGGTGCCCAATGCTCCTTATTATCTCATGCAGGGAACAATGGAGCTCAGGTGTGCTGTGTCCAGAGGGATGTTTACAATTTGTAGGCAGAAAGTCACATGGACCCTCCCAGCATTTCTGTAGCTGAGATTGCAGACCTTTAAGCCCATGAGATGATGCATTAAGATTCCCCACAGCTGCTGGGCTAGCTCAGTTAAGGACAAGGACTGGCCACTTCAGTTTTTCTACATCTTTGCATCCTGTCTGTTGTGTCAGACAACAAAAACAGGGCCAAGGTGTAACTAATATGAGTAAAACATATGAGCGCCTTCAGTTTTTCATATTACACTGGAGAGGCCATGAGCTCTCTGGACAAACTTATCTTTTTACTTTTTAATTCTGAATAATCCACATTGTTAGAAACTATACTCTTGTTCCTTATTTGGAATCTTCTTTAGGATGACACAACTGAGGCTGAGTGAGTGTAGCGGTTAAGCATCCGAAATCCAAAGACCAAACCTTCTTGAGTGCCAGTGCGATCCACAAAAAATTCCATACTGTGAAACTGTCCTTCATGTACAAAATTATTAAAAATACTGCATAAAATTATCTTTCAGGTTATGTGCAGAAGACACATATATAACATAAATCAATTTTGTGTCTAGATTTGAGTCCCATCCCCAAGATATCACATTACATATATGAAATATTCCAAAACAAAGACAAGAAAACTCCAAAACCCAAAATCCAAAATATTTCTGGTTTCCTAGAGGTGAAGTCCAAGACCAGGAGTGGCTCCAGGCAAGGCAGAAGTTGCATGAGTCGGTCCCTCTAGGTGCAGTGGAGAGTAAAGGACAGAAGAGGTCATGAAAGACCTCCTCCTGGAAGAGTGTGGGACCCAGGCTCCTGCAGGGTCTGGGGACAGATTGCTGGGTGATCTGGGAAGGGAAGGTGGAACCAAGGGGAGGCCTGGCTTGGGCTGTGTGTGGGAGGTGTGAGTGTCAAGTGTGATGGGCTTGGAGGTGATGAGAGTGAGGGGAAAAGTCAAAGGTTAAGAGGTCAGGAAGCAGTTAGGGCCAGAAGAGGGAACTTCTAAGCATGAGAAAGTAGTACCAGCCTTGGAGGATGACCAGCTTTCAGCTGTGGCCTCATGAAGGGGGAATGAGTCTGGGAAAGCAGAATGTAAATGTAGAGGGCTCTGTTTCTCTTTGGGATTTTTAAACAACTGAAAAACAGGCACTCAGCAGTCCACAGCACTGCAGAGGCAGAGCTCCAGGGCTTCAGGCTGCCCTGACACTGCTTGGTGTCTGCTTGCTGATGACTGTTCCAGCATTTGAAGGGCCAGAGGCATCTCTAGACTTACTTCAGCTCTTTCTTCACCTCTTCATAGTCAGCCTGGCCTTTGAGTTTTTCTTCCAGTTGCTAAAAACAGAGAAGAATGTTAGTGGTCACGTCTGAAAGTAGGTTGATGGACTTTGTTGACCCACGTTCCTTGTATAACACCTGGTCATCATTGAGTGAGGAAACTGGCAATGTGGGTGCACCTTTTGCCTCCTTCTTCTGACCTAGTCCATGAGTAAGGCTGCACCCTGAGCAACCAAGATTTAAATGTAAAACACAACAAAAGTAGAAAGGAAAAGCTTCACAAAAGTGGCAAACAGAATAAGGGAAATTCCACTTTGTGTGAAATACCAGAAAACAGCAACTTAAAACAGAGATGTATACTTGGAATTTAGACGCAATGTATAGTATTTCAAAAACGATCTCAAGGCTTGCTGATTATACCTTCTGGGAGACCCTTACTAAAGACAGACATAAGCCCTTGGCTGTTGTGTGTTGGTATCAAATAGGCATCAAGAAAAATATATTTGGTTACTGGTATTTGAGGAGTGCCCAGCATGACAGGGACTTCTAGTTCCCATGGTCCTCTCAGACAGTGGCAACACTTTCCCAAAGTGTCATGATGTTTGCAGGTAGTGCAGAATAGTCTGAGCTTGCTGGGAATTTCTGGTTGCCAAAAGTAGCTGGTATAGAGCATTAGTTGAGCTGTATCCTAAAAAGGTGCTTTTGGACTGTTTCGCTTCTGACCTTCCGCAAAGTGAGTTCCTTGAATTGAACAAGGCCATTTGATGTAAACTGCGAGGACAGGGCAGGGTTTCTAAGCTCAAGCTGAATAAATTCATGGCTTGAGCTGTCAGCTTCTTTCTGTCTACGGGGTTTCCAAGGGTCGTTTTATATTCTGCTTGCCCAGCTATGTCTAAGACCACAGTTTAAGATGCTTGAGACCATTCCGGTGTAGGCAGGAGATATTCAGTGTCTGTCAGTCTTGATGTTCTTCTATCTCTGACCCTATTTACTGTTTTGAGAATGCAAGTGCTTTGTAAATGACACTGGCCCAGCTACTTACTGCTGCCTGTGTTGGCAATTTCATGTGTGTGTATTTTTCACGGTATAAAATTGTTCTGCCTTATTCTATTCTAAGATCTCTTGCCAACTTTATATAATAGTTTTCTCAGTCATAATCAAATGGGGGGGGTAGTAAGTACTCATTTTCCCACAAAAGATTCTCAGAAGGTGATCCTAAATAAGTGATTATTTCATTCTCTTCCCTATAGTCAACTAGTGGGAAGCTCAAATATGCCTGCCTCCCTCCCTCATAGAACATTATCTGCAGTACAGCTGGGAGACTAAACATCAGTAGGGCACAGTGATGCAAGCCTGTCATCTCAGCAATCCAAGAGGCAGAGGTGGGAGGACCTCAAGTTCAAGCCCATTCTGAGTGATTTAGTAAGATCTTGCCTCAAAACTTAGTAGCTTAGAGATGTTGAAGTCCCTGGGTTCAGTTCCAGTATGGGTGTGTGTGTGTGTGTGTGTGTGTGTGTGTGTGTGTGTCTACACAGTCAAGAAGCCCCCAGCATTGTGTGTGTGTGTGTGTGTGTGTGTGTGTGTCTACACAGTCAAGAAGCCCCCAGCATTGTGTGTGTGTGTGTGTGTGTGTGTGTGTCTACACAGTCAAGAAGCCCCCAGCATTGTGTGTGTGTGTGTGTGTGTGTGTGTGTGTGTGTGTGTGTCTACACAGTCAAGAAGCCCCCAGCATCTCTTTTGTGACTGACACTTTGTAACAGTTCTTGTCTTGCACAAACAGGCTACAGGGAAGCTTGGTGGATGATGCCCATAATGCTTGTCCTGACTTGCATAGCACTTCAATCTGGCTCCAAGGTAGTATCCTTGAAAGTGACCTACTGTGGATGCCACATCTCAAAGCTGCACTGGAGGCAGAAGGGGGCACAGGAACCTCCCTCCATGTGTTGCTGCAAGTCTTGTGGCGTTGGAGTGCAGTGGACTCATATAGGCACTGCTCCTGCTGATAAGATGTTGGTGGGCAGTAAAAGCACCTAGGGCTAATGCCAAAGAAACAGAATCTGGGAATTAGGTTATCTTCCCAAAAAAATGCACAGACAGCCCCTGCTTTCTGCAATTAAATTCAATAATGTGAAAGAAATGCTCCTCAAGTAGAAACTGTGCACTGAATTTTGAATTTGGCCTTCGTGGGTTAGTAATCTACTAGAGCCTTCCTTCCATCCAGTGCAAGGCAGTGGCGGCAGCAGTAAGTCACAGCCCCATCACTGCTGCAGTCACTGATACATACCATGTGTTGTGTTGCTGAGCTGTGATATATGAGAGGTTAGGTGTCTTAGATGCAGTTTTCAGAGATAGATATATGTGAGCATGGGTGATAGCAGGCAAGTTCTCCTGTGGTTTTGAGAACCTAGAAGGTATTCAGGTACTTTCTCACTGCTAGAGAAACTGTCTCTTTGAAATCTTAAAATCTCAACTAAAACTTATGTTATGGTTTGTGTTTGAATGTTCCCCAAAGGCTCATGAGGTCACAGGAGATGGGCCTTTTGAAGGTGGTCACATCTAGCATTTCTGATTGGTTCACTGTCTAGTGCTGGGATTGTGGCAGTGTGAGTGCTGCACCTGCCCAGGGTGGTAGCTGACATACAATATAAAAGAGGGAAAGTAGCTTGCTCCCCTCACTTTTGCTTTGGTTGCTTTTGCTGGTTGCTGCCTTTAAGTGTTGCCTCAGTGCCATACTGCCCTGCTTTGGAGCCAGCTGAATATGGACTGAAACCTCCACAAACTGTGAGCTAACTAAGCCTTTTCTTTCTTCATTTGGGGTGCCGGGCATTTTGTCCCAGCAATGAGCAAAAGTAACCGAGATAGCTTAAATTGGAGGTAAATTGGAAAATATGGTCCTTGGTGCTTGAAGGCTAACAAGCAATGACACCTCTGGCATGTTTAGACAATGCCAGCATCTGTGGAAAGGCTACATTCTGGGAGCCACCGTCAGGTGAGGTGGAGTCTGCAATACAGAAGGGCAGGATTGACTTTCACAGTGCCATCAAAGACCCGATAGTTCAGGCTGAGGTGTTGAGGTGGATCCCTTGACCTCCCTGGATCCCTGCTTGGCCCTGGTTGATGTTGACTTTGGGGTCCAGGCCTAGGAAGCTTGTACCTCTTTATCTATGAATGAGGAAACTCGCCCAATAAGTACATCTATCTCACGGTTCCTTGGGGGAGAGGCAGCAATCATGTAAATTTGGGATCTGCTGCTGATGGGCTTGGGGAAAGAACCCAGGGATACTCTGGTACCTAGACAGTGAGGAAGTCGCAATTCTGGATCACTGAAACACTGTGGTGGGCATTCTACGTGTAATATATGGATGCTGAGAACACAGGGTGGAAAGAGAGACCCCCCAAGGCCAAAGGGTGAGGGTTATACTGGAGGATCTCTTCTTTTCCATGCAGTGGGGGTCCTACTGCCTAAACAGACTGAAGCTAGAGCAGACAGAGTGGCAGGGCTAGCAACGTTGGCTCTGGCAGCAAACAAGACACAAGTTGCCTCCACTTTCCAGGAGCTGTGCCCTAGACACTGGGTTGACAAGAGTCAACTCTTTGGAGAATAGAATAATCATAGACACCAGAAGAGGTCTGATTTAATATTCAGGTCACCTACACATGGCAGATAATGAGGGGATGGTGTGAACTTTTCAGATTCACTGAATGAATGGGTCTAGTATGTCTCTCCGAGAGGATTCACAATAGATGTCCATGCACAATTAGCTCCTTTAAAGCACTGTCAGTGATGCCAAATGATTTACAGGGATTTTACCGGACCTTGTTTATGACCTCCTCCAGCCAACCAAAGGACACCTTATTTCTCACTCTCACTCACTCTACCAAGTACAGTGACTTCTGCTTCCCACTTGGGGGCCATGCTGGACTTTCTTCTTGCTCCTTTTTCTCTTGGACCTATTCATGTTGTCTATAAGGCTCAACCAGAATAAGGCTCAACCAGAACAATGCTATTACTAGAGCTGTGTTCCTGGGCTCTGTATGACACTGGATGCCTAATGTTACAACTTACATGGGCCATTCTGGAGGTCAGATCCCTTTTCCATCTGTCTTCTGGCTCACAGTGACAACAGAGTGTGTGGAACAAATAGAGGTCAGAGCCTCCGACCAGGGCTGTGTCTCCTGCTATAGCTACTGGCTGGACACTTCTGGGACTGATGTCGCCAGAGATGATGATGATCACCCTGGCCACTCACAGAGCAAGTGTCACTGAAGCTTTATAAGCTGTGCCTGCTGGTTAGGACCTCATGGTGGATAGCCTAAGCACAAAGTGACAGCAGGCCTTAGAGCCATACTGTTGAGAGATGGAGATTATGGGATCTAGAGGTGGGGTCTCGGGGCACATGGAACCCATCTGGAATTCAAGGGCCTACAGGAGGCTAAGAAGTGGTTATCAAGTTTTTTTCCTGGCCTTATACCTAAGGGACACAGCAAATTCCCACAGTAGCTTACTGGGATTTATCAGAGCCTCAGAGGGGGAAGGGGCAGCAGGTAGAACCAAGTGAGTTTGGAAAAAGACCCTCAGGTGATTCTAACACACTTGCCTACTTGCCCAGTGGGAAGTACTAATCTTTCACACATCTTTAGAAAATGTAATTTTTCTCTATGGGAGACTGGCATTCTTTTAGCTAGCCTTTCTTATAAATACCCATTTTAAATTGAAGCTATTGGTAGCATTATTTTCTATGCCATAGTGAGTACAATGCAGGTGACTGCCTAATTATACTGCCTCTATATTCAAGTGTTACGACAGAAAACCATGCAACAGAGAGTTATCAAAAATAGCAGCCCTGTCATTGCAGTTGGGTTATTTCATTAATTACAAACATAGAATTATCCTCCACGAATGGCACTGTGCTTGAGCACTTGTCACATTAGGCAGAAAGAAACGTCTCCACTTGGAAGCTTGTCTCCCTGTCTATTTAAAGGTTAGAGGATGCAGCAAGAGATGTGGATAGTGTTGTGCTGACTGTGAACTTTGCTTGAAAGAAAGGAACCCCTGCCAGGAAAGACTGGCAATTGTGTAACAACCAGAATGATAGGTCCATTGTCCAGGTGAAAGGAAAACAGACAGTTTCAACTAGGCTAGGGGCAGAAAACCAATTAATCAGTTTCCCAGTTATACACAATGCCACCAAAGGGTATTAGTAGAGAAAACCCAATCATCTCAAAACTCAAGATTTCTACCAATGAAGCCTTTGCCTGTGGAATACATGCACTGCCCAAGTGACTATTACCAAACACATGGGCATCTGTCACAAAGATTGAGGACTGCTAGGTATGGTGCTCATGCCTACCATCCAGCTATTTGGCAGGCTAAGGCAGGAGAAGCATGAGCTCAAGCATATCCTGGGCAACTTAGTGAGACTATTTCAAAATCAAAACATAAAAAAGAAAAGTCTCTAGTGCTGAAAGCAACAACAACAACAGCAGCAGCAGCAGCAGCAGTAACAACAGCAGCAGCAACAACGGACCCACTGTCAAATTCTCATGGCAAAATCACCCACAATTGCAAAGAGCTGAGAGCTGAATAGAAAGGTGTCAAACAGCACCTCAGTTTCATTTCCCAGTATGTTTCCTGCAGACCCCAAATGTGGAAAATGTGGTTCATAAAAGGAGGAAAAAACAAAACAAAACAAAACAAACAAACAAACAAACAAAAAGGAGGGGCATAAAGGAAAGGAGGACGGGAAGAGGAAGAGGCAAAGTTAAGATAAGCCCTAACTTGCTTCTCGCTGCTTCCCTTGTAGCTACCACCATGGAGTCAGTTCTTCCCTGCAAAGGCATCACGTTGCTGATGTGACAGATCTTATTCACACAACAGTTCCCTAAAAACTGTATCCCTGCTTAGTTTACATGTGGACAATCAGTTATACACATTGGAACAAGACAAAGGCCCTAAGAAGGTAACTCATTCAATTAACCTTATTCCTTTGGGGTGTGGGAGGCAGACTTGCTTGTTTGGGGGAATCTAGGGCCTTTTGTGAGTACATTTGCTATCAGAGAAATCTTTACTCCTAGCGACAAGGGGTTAAGATAATTAAAATCAGAGAAGTCTTGTTACTAGAGGATATGTTTTGATTATTAGATCAGATGAAGATAAGGGAGCAATGATTTTGGAAGAAGTATTGCTGAATTGTTTCATTAAGTGCACAGTATTAAAGAATTCCCCTAAGATACAGATAAAGAACATTAATTTGTGAAACTGCGTTTCATTTTTTGTGAAGGCAAACATCAAAACCTTAACTGATTTACAAGAAATTGTTCCATAATGAAAAATGGAAGGTCTACATCCCCACTCGCATGTAGCCAAATACAGGATGGTATTTGAGTCATGCACTTTAACTGTGACGAAGGGGAGAAAGGCAGATTATCTAATAATAATGCCATTGCAATGGTCAGAAATGGCTATAACATGAGAAAATTAGGTTTAATCTAGGGATGAAAAATGAGTCCTGGTACTCACTGGGCAAGGTGATGAGAAAAGAAATGCATAGGAGAAACAGTAGCCATGGTTAATGGGGAATGTGATGAGTTTCTTACCATCTTCCCAAAGCTACAGGACTTTCTCCTCAGAGGGACATGGGCACCCAGCAATTTTTGTGACAGTGGATAAAATTCATCCCAAGGAAGCCAAGAGAAAACTAGAAGGGAAGGCTGCAAGTGACACTGCTGTTTCAGGCTTGCTGAAAACTTACTTCTAGATTTGTTTGCACATGTATTGAGAAGAAAATTTCCATTAAAAAAATGAAAATGGGCTTACATTTTAAAATTTTATATAAGAAAAAGTTTCTTTTTTCTTATTTTGCAATGAGATCTTTGCTATATTGCTCAGGTTGCCCTTAAACTCTCAGGATCCAGGAATCCTCCAATCTTAGTCTCCCTAGTAGCTGAGGTTATAGGTACACATTACTGCTCCTGGGTTCTTTACCTTTTACAATTAATCTACTTAGTGTACATGAGTTCATTTATGCATGGAAGTAATTCATTTGTACATGGAAGGCGCTATGGGGCAGGAACAAGAATGGCCCTGGATGAGCACCCCTTGGTCTGAGCTGGAGACTCCTAATTCCCTTGCTGACCCTGCATTATCTGCCAAAGAAGATACCTCCCAGGAGCCTTCATAGTGCTGACACCCAGCAATCCAGGGTTCCACAACTGTCTTCAAATTACATTTGATTTGAAGGACTGCAAGTACTTCCAAATATAATTACTATTATTTAGTATATGGAAAGGCTCTGGTTTCTGCTAGGCTGCCTAGCCAGTCTGTCTGGGAGGGGATAGTTGGGACACAGGACATGGGAATATCTTTTACCTCAGGGACTCAAGACAGGGTCTTAGGGCTTTGTGTAGCTCAGGTATAGGACAAGGCAAGGTTTCTGTGTACTGGGTCTTCTCATCCACAGATAGCCAGGAAGGCCTGCAGAGCTGACTAAACATATATCTACACTGATGGTCTGGCTGAGACACACACAAAGCTCCACTCAGAATAGCAGGCGCACCAGACGTTGCCTCTGGCATTCATAGGTGGTAAGACAGGCAGGTATATACATGTGGGGACTTTAGTGCTGCGGGAAAACGGGGGTCATAAAGGGGAAATGGTGTCTACACCAGAGCCAGTAGTGGGTTCAGCTCCAGTCTCCCACCCTAGGCTCTGGATGTCTGCTCGGCAGAGGAATTTGCTGTCAATTCTCAGAAGGCAGAGGGTATGCATGTGGATGTGCACCATGCCCTGGTGGTGTCCTTACTTTGAGCGTGCTGTTCTTGGCGTTCAGCTGCTGCTCGAGTTGGGAGATCTGGCTGGCTGAGTTCTCACGCAGCTTTGTGAGGCTGGTCTGGAGCCTCTGCACGTCCTCCACCAGCTGGGCAATTTCCCGCTCTTTGGCAGCTAACTCAACTTCCAGGCTGGAACGGGTCAGCACCTCTATGGCCTGCTCCTGGGGAAGACAAGAGAAATGACAAAACTGTACTGGCTTTGTGGGGCAGGGGTTCAGGGCTCTCTATGAAGGCAATGGAGGCAGAAACCATGGAGATCTCAGGATGTACATGGTAAGCTGAGGGTGAGCCAGGACTTTCTGCCTTTGCCTGGACACAACCTGCTGTGTGCTCTCCCCACATCACCTTCCCTTTCACATGGTTAGTTGCCACCTGGGCTTGTTTGTTGGACTTTCTGAGTACCCACTGAGTCCCAGGCACATAGCAAAAGCCCAGTCTTCATGGGCCTCACAGTCCAGCAGAGACTGGGACTGGGCAGGTGAGGTCCGTTAAACAGCTTCAATGATAATGAGAAGGGTGGTTAGATGGTGGCAGTGCTATAAAAAAAAAAAAAAAAAAAAAAAAGCAAAACAAGGAGGGCAGAAGAATCAGAGCTGGGTGAGGCCTGAGGCTTTAATGAGGGATGGGAGATATGTGAGCAGAGTTCTGAAGGAGCTGTCGGTAGGTGGAGAAGAGTACTGTAGCTAGGGAATGGCGAGTGAAGTGCCTCAGAGGAAGGCACCTAGAATAAACACTCAAATTTTCTACCCCAGGGTGGGAGTCAATATCCTTTAGATTCATTACTAAATTATTCAGAAGCTGAGGTCCTAGCTTAACAAATGGATCCTTAGAATTTAGTGTTGCTCCCAAAGAGTTAGAAGACATTGGAATACGTATATTTTGATTCCTTTATGTAGAAACTAGCTATGATAATTGAGTTTTTAAATAAAAAATTTATTTAATGCTTAGTGTGGAAAATTTGCATCACAGAGAAAAACGGTACTGTAAAAAAAGGGCAAATCTCTAATTCTGCTTTCCAAGACTCAAGCAGTACTTTTGTCAAGCTTTAGAATCACAGTTCTGGTATGATCCTGGAAGGTTTTCTGTAGGGCAGATGTGCTTCTGGGTGTGACTGACAGGGACAGAGGGCTCAGGCTTCATGGCTTCTGGGCTGGCAGAGACCTAAGAACTGGCTCATGGTGTAGCATGGAATATCACCAGCCTTGTCTGTGGTCCTCGGTGAAGTGTGCTGCTTCCTGCCTTGGTTTTGCCTGTGCCCGGGTGGAAGCAGGTGGCAGTCACTGTGCTGCTGGCTATACACCCAAGTACCCAGGAAAATGATCTTTCACATCTTCCTCCTGGGAAATGTATGCCTTTACTATCTGAGTCAGGAAAGTTCTCTGTGCCAAGGAATGACCCTTTTCTCTTTCTTGGATCTGTACTGTAAAATAGATTGCTCTTTTTCCTGGCCTCTGGTGGATGGATATGTGGCTCTGAGGCCCTGAGCATCCCTTGTTGGTTTATTTACAAGGCACAGCCTGTCCAGGCTATCCTGTCCGGCATGTGTCCTAGGGCTGCTGCCAAGCCACCAACATGCCAGTGCACAGTGAGGCAAGAACAAGAATGGAGAGCTGCTATGAGAAACCCCAGAACCATTCAAAATTTTGGTGACATTTTTATAGCCTTTTATAAAACTATCAGTCTGCAATAGAATAGAAATTTTAAAAAACAAAAAAGGTTTTCAACCTGGAGTTTAGAAAGCACCATTCTAGATGACACTGGTCTGCCTACCCTGGCCCCTATGAGGTTCTGAAGCAGAAGGAGACATAATGGAAATGATACCGGGGGAGATCAGTCTGAAGGTGGATGCAGACTGACTCTAGTCATCTAATAGAACAAGTTTCATCAATCTTTTACCTTGAGGACACCAGCCACCAATAGTGCTTCAAGGGCTCTTAAGCAGTCTATAAAACCGTCCCAATGATGAGCTTTGCAATGGTCAAGTTCAAGTTCAAGTATCAGGACTAAGTGGCTCAAATAACATGGCTAAAAACACCAGCTCTCAGTACTGGTCTTGGACTCAGGGTAATGACATAAGAGTAGGCCATTCTCTGAGGGCCATTTGCTCCATTCCTAAGGCCCAGTTTGGCTTAGCCACAGGACTGCAGGCTCATCATCTGATTCATGAACTTGAGCCATAAATTCCTCCTTTCTAATGCAGCAAAAAGTACTTCTGAGATAATATATCCAAATCAACTTAGGGAGCACATAAACAACAAAAACCCCATCCTACTCCAATGATGGCTCACCTCCGTCTCACACACACCTGGTGGTCTTGTCCTAAGGACACAATGGACAGCTAAGAAAGAAATGAAGGATCCACGCAATGGTCACGAAATGAAGGATCCACTGCAGTGGAGGGAGTGGCCTGAACTGAGGTGACAAAGCAGTCCAGAGCAGGCAGGCTGGGAGGGATATCGTCATCACCTATGTGGCAGTGTGGACAGTGAGAGGAAAACACAGCCTCCGAAACTTTAGTGGGTGGGTGTCAAGCAGTTAAGGTATCACTGGACTTGTGATTGAGAAGTACTGTCTCTCATCTGTCCCAGGCTCTACCTGGTGGCATCAGAATCCTATGGGACTCTAGAAGACAGCCAGGTTCTGGGCCTCATCCTGAGGCAGGGACTGAGTGGGGGATGGGGACTGAAGGAGTAGTGATGGGGCTGACAGGATGATAGTTGGGGCGTACGTGTGATGTAACAACAGAGCCCTGTGGTACCACCATGGGGAAGATGATTTTCCAGTCTGTCCGGCATGGAAATCTCCAAGCTCCAGGCTTCTACATGCCCTGTGGGCCCTGGTGGCTCAGAAATTGGAAAAGGACATGTAAAAATGATTAGCAGAGTTTAAAAACATTGTAGGGGGTTCAGGTGGTGGAGTGAGCACCTGAAAGGAAAGTCCCTGATGTCACGTTCTGCCATGTTTGGTCCCTTTGAGCTCACTTGCCTACCTGTCTCCTTAGGATCCCTGCAGAGACCACATCACAGACCCCCACCACCACGTAAGTGAATCATCTGGTGTCCCACAATCACTTCAGGTTAATCATGAATGAGAGGCCAAGGAATTCCAGTCACAACATGCTGGTGACAGTGAGCCGGAACCTGGCTGAGGAAGAGATTAGCTGGAGTCTGGTGCTTTTCCAGTTTTATTTCCTGAATTGAGGGTGAGATGACAGAGTGGGAACTTGGCCTTATTTCTCTTCCTTACATCTCTGTTCTTCCCCAATCACTGGCACAGTGGTGTTTCCTGGTGTTATGGTTGGTTGGGTTGCAAAGGGGGCAGGGCCAGTGGACCAGAGCCCTGAGTTGGTCTCCTCCGCACACACCCATGAGGACTTTTGCAGACCCTGATTTACTGGCTGCTTTGGAAGAGTGGTGGGGTGAGGGGGATGAGGGGTCTATGGAGCAGACAAGCTGAGGTTCACAACCTGATTTGATGGGTTTCTAGCTGTGTGACCTATGGCAAGTTACTCAGCTCTTTCGGAGCCTTGGTTTTACAGGTAACTGTGAAATAATAAAATATCCCTGTAATGACTGTGCTGCTGGAGGCAGAAATGGACTCAGCAAGGAAAGCTCTGCACAGCTGTACCCTGAGCAGGAGCTTGCTGGGTGCTCGCTTGCCTTCTAGAATTGAGGTTCCACTGAGACACCCAGTGGAAGGGCTGTTGCTTTACTAGATCTATAGACTCTACTGTGCCTCGGCTGAGTTCTTCCAGCCAAGCCCAACAGCCTACTTTTCTGCTGGCCCAGTTTCTCTGCTGGTGGGAGCTGGCACTTGCAGTTATGTGGGGAGGCACAGCCAGAGAGCCCGGCAGGCAGCTATGGAAGACGGAAGTGGTGCCGGGCAAACACGGCACTTAGTCCCTGATGAAGTGTGTAACCTCGCAGGACCTGCAACTGACTCTACCTGCAAAAACACTCATTTCCTGCTAAAATGTTTGGGTTGTTGCAGGCCAGGATGGGGCCAGAATTCTTTTCAATCCAAACATTTAGCTCAGGAGCCCTGTTACATTGCATTAGAATGGATGGCTTCCTCTCCAAGATCCCAGAGAGGCAGAGACTGCTGCTAGCCCTAGCTCTGGGGCTTCCCCTGATCCTGGCTCTGTATCCAGGGTGTCTAAGCTTAGATGAGGGGGCAAGAACAGAGCTGAAGGGTCCTTTTAGTTAAAAGTATTGAGAGCACTGAGTACAAAAAGGGTGCTTTAGCCATTTAAATAGAAACCTGTTTTCTCTATCTGAAACATTTAAACCCTACACTTAATGTTAAAGAAAGAAAACTAAAATCTATTCTTCTTGATTTTTTCAGATAGGGTCTTTCTGTATAGCCCAGGCTGGGCTACTCTCAATCCTCTTGCCTCACCCTCCTGTGTGCTAAGACTACAGGTAGTATGTACCACACTTGGCTAAAATCCATTCTTTTATGGGGTTTTATCACAGATACTTGGCTCCATGTTCACATGTGGCAATCACTTAAAAGTCCTGGGCTGCAGGATCTGCGGCCCCAGCTTAGTTCGAATTGGCCACTGTTTGCCTGTACTCTGGGCCAGGTGCTCACATTCATGGGCTGTCTCCTCATCTGCATAAAGAAATAATAATACCTGTTCCAGAGACAAGGTAGATGAATGGCTGTTAAAGTAACAGATGAACCTTATCACTGCAGTAAATTTTTCTGATGAGATGCTCTGATCAGGGCCTTGTGTTGTTTCTTGTTGCCCTCATTTACCCTACAAGCCAGGCCTGCAGCAGAGGGCCTGTTAGAGCTAAAGTGACCTTAGTTAGGCTCATTTAATCTTTATTTTATACATTAAAGACCTTAGTTTGCAGGGAGATGGTGCCAGCCACAGCAAGGGGAGCTGCTATTTGTTATGTACCAGGCTTGTGCTACATGCCTTGGTCATAACTTCCTGAACCTCCGTGAAACTCCTCCTATAGATGGAGGATCTGTGACCCAGGAAGATGAGTTACTTGCTCTAGCTGACACAAGTAGAGTTGGATCTGAACCCTTGTAACTGCCCACGGCCTTGGCTACCATGTTGTTCCATGTGACAGCACAGCACTGAGGGGCTCTGGGAACTGGTTGTTCAAAGCCTGATGAATTGGAAGCTTTGGCTATGAGCTGTTATTGTTAACTTCAGAAAGTCAGGTGGCAAAAGTCTTTGTTCTTTCAGGATGCTCATACTAGAGCTGGTTCCAGCAATGCTGGCTGTTGTTGTGTGATCTGTGTGTTCCTAGCTCACTGCAGACTGCTCTTCTCCTCCAAGAGGACACATCCAGAAGAAAAACACATGCTTTACTTTCTTGTAGAATTCTGGGGAAGCTCCTGTTTCAGACCTTCTCCTCCCAACTAATCATCATCTCCAGGCCAGGCTAAGAAAGTGTCCTCTGTGTATGAAGGTGTTCTCTGTGTGTCTCCCCAGCCTCCATCTTGGCAAAAATCCTCCTTTCACTCTACTATGTTGCAGCCCCAAGTTGGTGAAAGCACTCCCCATGGGTTAAAATGGCATTCCAGAAAGGAACATCAAAGTCCTAAAGCAGAAAACGGCAGTAACTTGAGGGTACAGAGGCCCTGCAGGCCCGGGCTACCCACCACATCCGGGGCCTTCTGGATCTGTGAGGCCAGCTGGAGGGAGTGGTTGGCTGATGAAAGCTGCTCCCTTAAGGTCTCCGCCTCTCTCTGTGCCACCTCTGCCCTCTGAAGGAAATGAAAAGGGGTGAAGAAAGTACATTTGGTTTAACAACTGACAATTATTACAAGAACATTCATCAATTCATGCCTGACTGACTATAATTGATTTTCCTAAACACTCAACCTAATAAATGCTTGAAAAAAAAAACATAGAATGTGATGGATTTTTATTTTAAACAGTACAAGGAAGAAATAATTGAGCGATTATGACAGTAATTTAACGCTAGGAGCAAGGAATCCCCTGCTGATACTAATGCTCTGGCCCACTGAATTTCCCAGACTGAATAAATACCAGTGGAAATAGAGTCTTCTGATTCAATTTCTTTCTATTCTCATAGACCGAGAAGATTTTATTGCAGGATTACTCTTGGGAGTAATTCTCACGGGTAAACAGTGAATTAAAGACACTTTGGCCATTCTCTCCCTAAAAACGGGCACAATGTTGTGGTTGTTTTCCTTCAGCAACATTTCCATAAACGGATGGGGTGTAAATGCCACTTTCTTTTGTAAGGGCCAGGCTTATTTCAGCACGGTTAACCCTTCCCCAGACATTTTTGAATGCTGGCACTGTCATGTTCCATTGAACAGGCCAATCTGTGGCTAAGGTATGTGGGTGACCCAGGCCAGCTCAGGGGGCTAAGCAGAAGTAACTACAGTCTTTCACCATCTGTCTGTAATTTCTGGATGACGAAGCTGCAGCCGCTTCAAATCCAGACTTCCCACTGGATAAAGACAGTCACTCCAGTGCCTACAATTTGAAAGGGCATCTGGAAACAAGAGAAACCAGGACAGGTACCTAAACTTATTGCACCTTCATCTACCCATCTGTAAAATGGGAACAATGTCCTTCTCAGAGGCCTAGTAAGAATGCATACTCATAGAGTTTCACAGTACACACAACTTGTGCCTGGATGTCTGTCAAAGGGCCTTGTCCTGTTTTTACAATTATGACTGGAATGGAACTCTAAGGCAGGTAGGAAATGGCAGCAAATGACATTGGGCACATGGATGAAGAGTAACATGCTATTTCTTTGTATATTTTTAAAATTGCAATCTGCTCACAGAAAAGATTAATGAGAATACCCTGACAGGACAAAGCTGTTTGTTTTTTTTTTTAATTTTGTGGTGTAACAGCTGGTGTCTACTAACTGCTAAAAAGAACTCACAGAGAGAAACAAGAAGGTAGTTTGCCCTAGTACTCACTGACCAATCGTATGAGGAAGGAGTTTTGCCAGCTTTAAGTGATTTGGTGGCAGATACATTAAATCTGTTTGCTGTGCACATAGACAAATTAGGATCTCCTGGAGGACAGCTGGGCCTGCCTAAGGTGGAGCTGGTGGCCACATGCCCTGCTTCTTGGGAGCTCTGGTATGTCACTACACCTAATTCACAAGTTGCCTGGCCAGCTCATGTATTTGTAAGCAGCTTGTCCCACAGACTCTACTCCAAATGGAATCTAGAACCAGCCGTCAGGAAGGCTGGCAATGAGAACAGTGTGGTGAGGATGGCAAGGGTAATTTCTGGTTCATGCTAATTGCTAACTATTATGGTTATAGAAAAAAATTTCTCTGACAAGACTAATTTATTTTCAAGTTTTTCTGATAATCATGACAAATGACTGAAACGTTATTCTCTTGCTGGTCGACTAAACCCCAGGTACAACAATCTCCCCAAAACTTTGGCAGGAACGAGGTATATTGTGACATATTTCCTAGTCTCTCTGACTATTAGAGAAGCTGTCATGGTAGTAGCCAACAGATGGCATCACCACTCTGATGTGTCACTCTGGCTCTGAAGTATTTTAGAACTACCAGGGCTGAGGTGGCAAGTTCATGAGGTGTTCCCAGGAGCCGTAGGGATCTTGTTGGGGAGTGGGGGCGTAGAAATGGGAGAGTGCAGTCTTATCAAAGACAGAGGGCTCTCAGAATAGAGCTCTATCTCAACATCCTCAGCGGGTACTGGCATTCAGACTCCAAGTTCATGTATAGAGTTGCTTTTGACTTATCCCTTGGTAGTAACTGCCTTTTATTACATGTGGCTTGACTTGGTTACTTTAGTGCAACTTTTTGGTATTTATTTAGGATTTATAGCTGGGGTTTAAAAAAAAAAAAAAAAACAACAACCCATCAACAAACAACTGAGTTGGTTTGTGCAGTTAACAGGCATAAACCAGGAGAATATTCAAAATAAGAGCAGCTGAAAAAAAAGGAGAGATGGGTGTGGTGAGCATGCCTGTAATTGCAGCACTTTAGAGGCTGAGGCAGGAGGATGCTATGTTTCAGGAAGGCCTGGGCTACAAAGTGAGTTCAAGGTCAGCCTGAACTGCATAGCAAGACCCTGTCTCAAACAGACAAGAAGGAGATGGAGAAGGAGAAGGAGAACAAGAGCAAGAACAGCTGGGGATTTAGCTCACCGGCATAAGTACCTGCCTTGCAAGAAGGCGGTTGTGAGTTTGATCCCCCGTACCAATTAAAAAAAAAAATTAAAAACAAAACAAAACAAACAAAAACAGAAATGAAGAGCAAGAACAACAACAAAAACAACAACAACAAGAACGACAAGAAGGAGAACGATGACGATGATGATGACAGAGACCAGAGACTGGAGACCAGAGGACAGAGACGGAGATGGAGATGAAGCAGCAGCAGCCGGAGGGGACAGGGAAATAGTGCTATGCAGCTGGGATGAATGTGCTTCTGTAGCTGATAACTAAATTTAGCTTACTGTTGGCAGCTGGGGCAGAAAGAGGGTTGCTCGGCCAGGTTGGCCCGACCTATTTAGAGGTCACAGCCTTATCAGAGCTGCTGCCTATGCTGCCAAGGACCTGTAGACACTACAGGTTGGGACTAAAACAATGGTCCCTACAAACCCTGCTGGTTACATACCGAGATGCATGTTTGGGAAAGCAGGATGAGCGGTTTTCCTACCTCTGCCTGCCACAAAAATCCTCCATGTGGGGCCAGGGATTTAGCTCAGCGGCATAAGCGCCTGCCTGGCAAGCACGCGGTCATGATTTTGATCCCTAAAATCCCCCATGTGTGGCCTGAGACTGCAGTAGCCTAGGGTTCTAGACGGTCTAAGAAGCAACCCATCCTGTGGGAATGGCCCTGGACTCAGCCTGAAGCTAGCATGTTCTCAGCTGAGTAGATGCCCCAAAATTCTTGGTGGATGGACAAGGCTTGACAGCAGCTCTGCCCTTGTGCTGTAGATGGGCACTTGGAGGTCAGGGATTTGCTGAGCCTATGTGGTTGTAAATACCTTAAATTGGGATTCCAGCTTTATGGTCCCAACTCCCTATTGGCACATAAAAACCGTGGCCTAATAACCCACACATGGGTGGGCACCTCTAGCAAGTCTTTGTGTTTCTTTCTGTGCTAAGTTCCTTCTCCTTGGTGAGGTTAAATTGTGGTTTCCAACCCCAACATCAACCTAAAGGTCTCACACCATAAAAATCAGGGAGGCTAACAGGAGGACAGCGAGCTGAAATGACTTCTGTGTCACAGGTCTTCCTGTGAAATGACTTCTGTGTCACATGTCTTCCTGTGAAATGACTTCTGTGTGAGGTCTTCCTGACCTCAGTGTCACAGCACTGGGCAACTCAATTCAGTGCTGGTGGAAGGGCTGAAGAGACAGGGAAGCCTCTGAGCATGGTTCTGCATGGCTTCTTTTTGTCACCAAGTCTCAAAAGTTCTGGGCACTTATGGTCACCAATATGGTAAATATTAATGAAAGTATCTCGAGGCTGACCAAACAGGTGCCAAGGCTTTCCCTGTCCTGTTACCACAGCTGCTTATGCCACTCAGGTTTAGCCACAGTGATCCCCTCAGATCACAAATCTGAGGTCTTGCTCTTACCCACAGTCCTCACAATGCTCTCAGGCTGTGGTCTCTCTCCTAACCTGCCAGACTTGCCTGTCTATCCACAGGCCAAGATGTTCTCTTATACAAGTGGGTTCACCTACATTCTCTAAAATCCTAGACTTCATGGTCAGAAGAAACAAGTTGCATTATATAGTCAATTCCTATTGTCCACTCCTTGCCTTATTCCCCAGTTTATACTGTCTTGAGGGTTGACTCAAACCATCTGGCATAACTGAGGATAGGGAGCTTATTCCCTCCAGAGTAGCAACTTCAGAGGAAACTAGGCTGAAGAGGAGCCTTCTCACACTGGGAGAATGCTTCCACCTGCTAGGCTCTGTGCCTGGCCATGGTCTTCATGTGACTCAACAAAAGCCTGGCCCTGTCTTCTCATTGGCCTTGAGGACTACAAGGACAGAAATCACAAGATCCCCACCAAAAACTGTCCCCTTTCCCAACCTTTTAGCATTCCATGTTGCTGAAAAAACAACTACCACAAGGTTGTTTTACACAGGGTCTTGCTACATAGTCCAGGCTAGCCTCAAACTCATAGTGATCCTTCTGCCTCAGCTTCCCAAGTCCTGAGACTATAACTGTATACCACGATGCCTGGCTGAAATTACTCTTGTGCTGCCATTTCACTCTCCTTTCCAAAGACCAGCAACAGCCCCCAGCCTCTAGTTTGTGTCAGGTCCCTTCTCTGTCTTGGCTTTGGCCTCTGAATGTACTCTAGGAAACTCTTTTCTTTATGTTGTGGCTTTCATCCTAAAATGGAACTTTCTGGCATAGACTGCTGCAGGACAGCAGAATCACTACCTCCTCCTTCATGGTAGAAATATTATTTCTCACAATGCAGCCACATGAGGCAATTAATGGAGGTTCAGTGGTTGGTAAGAATGTCACCCACCTCCGAACAGCCAGTGTTTCCTCAGGGCTGCCCTCCACAAGCCTCCCCATTACAAATCTGTCCTGTAGCAGACTAACATGTATTTATGGAGTTACCCAAGCAGTTTTATCTCTAGTCCTCAAAGCACCCTGCAAAGGTAATACTAGCTACCACCCCTTCCCTTTCTTCCTTGCAGAAAATATTTAAACAGAACATCTTAGCAATAGCTATGTGTACAGTTTAGTAATGTCAAGTCCAGCCACACTACAGTGTAACATTTTATCCTGTAGAAATGAACATCTACACTCATTTAACACCTTTTGCTCCTCCTCCCCTGGCCTTGGCAGCCTTTGCTGGACTCCAAGCTTCCAATAAGCTGACTCCTCTGGATGCTGTATCTAAGGGCAGGTGTGTGTGCGTGTGTGTGTGTGTGTGTGTCACACAGCATGTCTTTTTGTGGCTGCTCTAGCTCTATTAGCAAAATGTACTCAAGCTTTGCGTTTCTTTTTTATTTATATTTAAGATTAAGAAATTTAAGAGGTTAACAGACTGGTCAAGGCTAAACAGTCAGGAAATCTGCATTAGGACCTGAACTGTGTCACTCTGGAGTAAGTACTTTCTCTATGTCTGATCCACCAGAATGATCTCAGCCCTGAGAAGGGACATCAACTCTGCGAACATCTTAGAAACCAAATGACTCCCCCTAAGACCTGGGAGTTGTTTCCTGATGAGGTACTTGCATTCAAAAGGCCCAGGCTACCTGCTGAACAGACCTAGGCTTGCCCAGAAAGTGCCAGCAGAGGGGGCACATGCCCACCACTGGCCTGGGGGATGCAAATGAAATCAGGTGACAAAAGTTCAGTCCTTCCAGTACCCACTTGTGACTCAAGTTTCTGTGAGGTAGAGCAGAGCAGACTGAGTGAAAGCAGAGTGGCTACTGCACATCAGTTTAGAAAACTGCCTTTAGAAAACTGGGAAAACAACCACTTGAGAACCTTGGCTGGAGCTGTGCTTCCTGGCAGTGAGGTGTGACTGCTGCAATAAGGAAACAAGGCACTGTGAAAGAGAGGCCACTAGACAGGTTTTCTGTGTCTTTGCTTTGGGCTGTGGTGGCTGTGTTCCTGCCTTTGTACCCGACCAACCCTGACCTCAGTTTCCTCTTCTGTAACATGGGAATTCTAACTACATTGACCTCAATGGACTGCTATGAAGATTGGATTCAGATCACAGGAACAAGGTCAGCACTCAAGAGCTGTCAGCCACTGACTGGCACTTGGGTAACTAACATGAGACTTTGGGCAGGGCAGGTAAACCGTGTCTACTGAGGACCCCTTCCAAGCCAGTCCAGGACCTTGGGGTCAGGTCTGAGATCCAACACTGACCATGAAGCTCTGTTGAAGGAAAAGACAGCCTCCCTTTCACAGTAATTCCCATGCATGGCTGACTTTCTTGCTTCCAACTCTGGGTGGGTGTTATCAGGCCAGGACAGACATAGACACTCAGATCTAGGTGAACAGTGTCCCCAAAAGAGAGGACTTATGGAATTCTGGCAAACTGGCAGGCAGAGACTACAGAGATTGGGAAGGATTTTCCTTCCAGCAGAGGCTGTACTCATTTGTAATTCCTAGTACCCATGGCTACCAGTTATAAAACTGTGTGGGCAGAGGTAACACTCTGGCTGCTTCTCCAGGCAAATAAAACATAAGGGGAGACCATTTGTTTCTCAAGATGGCAGTGTCATGTGCTAAAGCAAAATCCTTTCCTGAGTGTTTAGATATCAAAATCCCATCATGTACCTGCTTGTGCTGGACACTGGCTGAGTTATTTCCTGAAACCTACGTCTGGCCACTAAGCGAGACATGAAAGGACCCCTCAGGTGGGAGCCTTCTCAGAGTGAGTGGCTACAACCAGTGGGAGGTGGAGATCAAGAACTCTGCTAGGCACCTCCACAGTATGATGGATGCCACAGCAGAGGGTTAGGACGACAAAAGCAGTCCCTTCAAGTGATGCCCACCATGAGATGTCTGCAATGCTGTGGCCACATCAAAGACTTCACCAAGGAAATAGTGCCAGGACTTTTACATTGTACCATTAAAAGCACTGATGTTGACGGTTGTTAAATAAAACATCCCAAGAGTAATTGGCCTCCTGCCTTATAGTGAGTGTCTTCTGTGACAGCAAAGTAGGCATGCTGTGGCAGTTTTACACCTAAAGGTCTCGGAATGTCCTACCTGGTTTGCTCTTTCAAGGTCGGTCATGATCATTTCAATCTCGTCGGCCCTGGGAAAGTGAGAGGGAGAGAGCAGGTTAGTTTATAGCAAGGAAGGCTTGTGGAGGGGACAGGTGGACAGGCTTTCTGGCACAGGAGGAGGCAAAATGACCACATTCATAGGGATTAGGTCAGGTACCCAAGGTGAGTGGGAGAAGGGCCATGCAGAGGGGTAAAGGAGTCACTGATGCCCCACTGCCCTTGAGCTGGGGAAGGCAATATATCTGTTGGTCTTGTTCAGGCTGCGTTTGGAGAGCACGATGGCCTGCCTCGGGGGCCTCCTAATCTTGCTGGGAAGCAGAGCCAAAACAAGATAATATACAGTATCCTGCCAAGGGCTTGAGTGGCACTCTGAACAGAGGGCTCTGGTAAAGTAGAGGAAGGCGAGATGATTTTCCTTAGGAGAGGAAGTCAGGAAAGGCTTCGGGGGAAGTAAGGGATAATTTGGATGTTGAAGGATGAACAGAAGTTTGCCAGGTTGGGATTAAGAAAAGAAGTCGAAGAAAGGCTACATATGGAAAAAGGTCTTACAGTGAGGGCCTTGCCAGGACAGAGGGAAGTTGAAGCAGGTGGTTGGCTGGAAGGATGAGGGCAGGCAGGGATAGACATGCCAGCTGGGGCTCTGCTATCTGCAGTGTGAATGGCTAAGGTCACTGCTACAACTTTGGTCTGCTCATAGAAGTGGAGCCTGCAGGTCCCTATTTACTTGTCACTTTCGAAAATACTTCTTTGAGGAGTTAGAAGGCAAACACATGGTTCCAGCAGATGCATCACTGCAGAAGAGCAGGGTACTACTGAAAAGGGCCTGCCAGCACCAAACTTTGTGTAGGCCACAACAAGCTTCTGGGGAGTCACCACCCCACCTGTGTGTCCCAGATCCTGGTAGTTGCCCCTACCAGGCTGCAGGCTTCCCCAGGAAGTTTCCAGTGTGCCCACAGGACCTGGCTGGGGCTCAGGGCTGGCTGGCTGTGCCCCCCCCCCCCCCCCGGCACCCAACTGTTCCCTCTGGCCCTCTCCACTGCTTAGGTCCACAATCTTGTGACCAATGACCACCAGAGGTGGAATTTAAACTACCCAGGCCCCACCTTGCGCCTGGCAGTGATGCTCCCTGGCCCTTCTCTCCTGTGGCTATGTCTCAGGGATCCACGCAGTGCCTTTGTTCTCTCTGGAAGATTTCAGTTTCCACTTGATGCTCCACTCACAATAAGTTCTCTGAGGGCCAGCTGCATCTCCCTGGCCCTCCATCTGCAGGACTGGAGGCTTCCTGACCCTCCATCTGCACTGGGCTGGAGGTCATAGTCCCCAACATGCCCTATCTTACCAGTGACAGACCTGCTCCCTAGAACAGTCCAGGGCACATGGACAAGTTGACTATGAGAACTCTGTCCCCTGATTCTTGCTTCATGGGCCCTGCAACATGAGAAATATAGGGGCCACCTCCCAATACCAAACACCAAGAGGGAGACTTGAGGTGCTCAGGTCCTTAAGTGGTCAGCTCTGTTGCCTGGGCTTTTCTAGCCTTAGCTGCCTGCTGAGGTATGGGCGGTGTTGGTACCTCCAGAAACCTGTCTGGGGTGATAGGTACAGCAAGTTCAATGTTCACTGTATCTGTCTGAAATAGTAGTTGACTTCCAGACTGGTCTGAAAAAGGTCTGAACCGGCCCATCCCATGGCCTAGTTAAATGAGGCTATTTTTAGGAGGGTTTCATGGGGAAGGCAGTGTCTCTAACATAAAACCCAGTGGGTCCCTTGCTGTGAAGTACTGGGTTTTGAGGGTATAGGGTGTGGTACTTTAAATTACCAACATTCCATGGTATCATCTGAAGCAAACAATGCCACATCTTAGAAACTGCAGTGCAAAGATAGTCTGACAACCACAAAGGGTTAAAAAACATTAAAAAGGTTTCCCCCACCCTATTTAGTACTGGGATTGAACTGGGGTGCTTTGCATCGAGCTACATCTCAGCACTCCCCCCCCCCTTTTTAAATTTTGAAACAGAGTCTAAGTTGGTAAGCTATCTAGGCTGGACTTGAACTTAGAATCCGCATGCCTCTGCCTCATAGAGTGCAGGGATTACAGGTGTGTACCACCATAGCCAGCTAGGGTTGAGATTCTTAAATTCAGTGAGAAAAGGCATCAGTCTCCACAAAAGGATGTTGGCTTGAAACTATGGATGAAGGATGTAGTACGGACTCCACTGGGTACAAAACAAAACAGAAACCAGAACAGAAAATTCACAAACTTGTCTTAGGGCAAATCAGGAGTTTTAAACAGTGTTGAATGTTCACCAGGCAATTCATCTTGCATTTGACAATGTCTCCATACCCACAGTGAACTTCAGGGCTCTGACATTGTTCATTTTCACTAACTTTATCCTGGACTGTGCCTGACATCTAGTAAGTTTTCTGGTGCTGGCTATATAGATGTGGACATGCTTTGTGGTACAACAGACTTAGAGATCTGCAGAGAAAAGGATACTGATGATCCCACTCTCTCAGGTGCATCTGCAGGGCTGGCTGCAAAGTCAGGAGGTGAGTAGTGATTGGCCCAGACCAGGAGAGGACAGTGATTGTTAATGAGCTCTTCCATCTTGCTTAAATTCTGCCTAAATAACTTTTCTTCATGCAAATATTTCATCTGTTCTCTCTGGAACTCCTGTTATCTGGATGTTGTTGCCATACTCACTTCTGTGCACTACATATCGGTGAATGTTTCTTATATATTCTGTTGGTTATCTTTTCCCACTCCTTTCTGGAAGGTTCTTTAACTTGATGTGATTAGTCTTTAGCAGCACCTACAATGCAACTTATCTTTTTTTTGGTTCCTTAGTTTAATGAACTTTCTACACCTGTTATTTCTACTTGCTTCATTTTTATATTATCCCTAGTTTTTATTTTACTTGGCTAATATTTTCCCTTGTTTCTGTGAGTCTGTTCCTCAGGCTTGTATTCACAACTCATTTGTCCACTGCAGATCATAGACACTGTTGTATTTGGGGGATATGCCCTTTAGACAGGCTGTTCTCCTCTGGGGCCAGCTGTTTATTCATGTGCTTAGTTGCTTACCTGGGGAGGGGGGACCAGCTATTCAACTTGGTAATTGATATAGGGGAGGTTGGAGAAGCCAGCCCTGGTGTGTGCTTCAATATGGATGGAAAAGAAAGGCTCACAGTTGGTGTTTACCAGGTTTTGCTGAATGAAGGGTTCCTCTACTCCCTCATGATATTCCTTCCACTGCACCTTCATCAAGGGAGACCGAGCTCTGCATACCAGAGTTCGGCCTTGCACTTCTAGGGAGAAGCAGCAGCAGGAGGAAGAGGCTCCCTGGGGTACCACTACCTCTTCTCTGTGCCCATCCATGCCTTACTCCTTGCCTGGCACAGTAGGGGTCAGACATAACAGCTCTAGGAAAAGAGAAGGCACCTGAGGCTGCGGGGAGGCAGTGCTAGGATCCTGGAGCTGGAGAGGTTGTTCCCAGGTATCTTGGACACCTTCCTGCATGGCCAGACTCTTTCAAGTTTCTTCTCACAAAAATGAATGGCTTTGGATATTCAGGAAATAATGCCTCATCTCCAAAAGATTTCAAGTCACTTACAAAAAAAAATTAGTCACATTTAAACAGGAAGGTGTCTTCTGAGCTGTTTGAAGCAATCCCTGGAAATGAACTTTAAGTTCCATATATGGGTCAGTTTAACTTTGGTTTCTAAGCAACCACTGAGCAGACCAAAATATTGAATGTGATAACAACCACAGCAGTACTTACCTTTCATCATGAAAGCAACTCTTGTCTTTCTCAAGCTTAGAAAGGACAATGACAACACTGAGCTCTGCTGTTGCAGGGTGGGGTTATTCAATGCCAGCTATGGTGGTGACAGCTGGGCCCAGAAAGGCTGCAGTTCCCCACCACAGAAAGGGCCCAAAGCTATAAGCAGGGACACTGGAAGGAGCCAGTGATGCCACTAGCAAAGAGAAGTTCAGATTATTATTTTATTTTTTTTGTGGTACTGGGGATTCAACCAAGGGTCTATATGCTGAACTGCATCTCCAGACCTTTTTAGATCTTGTTCAATTCTCCAAGTGGGCCTAGAACTTGTAGTGCTTCTGTCTCAGCCTCCCAGAGTGCCAGGAGTATTGATGTGTATATATGGCTAGATTATTATTTAAAAATCTGTGGGCTTGCCGTTTTCTGGAGTTTTTTTTAAAGTCAAAGTCACTGAACTACTTATAATTCGCTGGAAATTTGAATTGCAGCCATGGGCATCAGCAAAGCTGGACTGAGATGACTCGTGCCACCTTGGAACATCCCTCTGGATCTTTATAATTCATTCTCCTACCACGCTGCTGCCCACACCCCTCCAGCAAAATCAATCCTACCACACGAACTATGAAAGTGCCCAGAGGTTAATGTCACAGCCATGCATGCTTCTTTACAAGGGCGATGTATTAAACTTATACATGTTCTTATAGTGTGCATATTAACAATTTTCCAAAAGTTTCTCATTCTTTTCATTGTGAAAGTTCACTACCACTTGGTATCCAGAGTCTGGCATTAGTCTAAAATCATTTATTTTCTGAAGTCTGTTATAACTGCACATATTGTTTGCTCAGCAGAACGATTTATTATAAAAATTTAGTTCCCTCGTCTTTTACAAGCTGACAAAAGAGCCTCCATTGATCTATTAACCTGCACTGTATTATGTTCTGCTCTGACTTCAAACAGCGGATAATTTCAGTTTGACCTAGAATATATAGTTCAATCTATTCCCTACAGATCATTTCAGGGTATTCTCTGGGCTAACGCACAATTTTTATGAGGAACTTCAAAGGACATGGTCAAGGTTGATAGGAAGGAAATTATACGCATGCTAGAAACAGTATCTCCTTTCACATGAGCCTTCTAAGTGCTAGTGTCCAGCACCAGGACAAGGTTGGTGCATATTTCAATACCCAAGCAACCACACTGACAATGGGAGCTGTTAAGACAGAGGACAATCAGCCCTCTTTATCTGCA